GCGGGAGCTGGCCAGGCGGGGGGCCTGCCGGCCCCGGGGGTGCTCCTGGCGCGGAGGTTGGCACGAATCCTTGTGCGGCCCCGGGCGGCTCCTTCCCTGCAAATGGTGCTGAATTCGATGGCGTCGAAGACTTCGGGCGAGACAGCGTCACTCGGCTGGGCGAGGACCTGTCGCCGGGGGTGGGGGGAGGACAGTCATGGCCGTGCCACCAATCCCCTTGCCCAGTTTGCCCCCCGCGGTTGCCCCCTCCCTCCCCACCTCGCTCCTCCCGGTGCTATTCCACATCCCCGTTCTGCCTGTGCCGGCCGGGGGCCCCTCTAAAGTAGTATGTTCGGCATTATTTCAAGAAAATGCAATAACTCTCCTGATGATGTGGTAGCTAAATAGATTGTTATTCATAAAGTCTAGCAGGTTTCTACAGCTAAATGGAAAGCATGCTAAACCTGCTTTGTGCTGAATTTTCCTAGACGTTTTTACAGGGCTTCCAGTGAAGGATAAAGGTTAGTGATCTGCTTCATCAGCAGTCAGGATTGTTTTGTGAGATGTTTGTGAGTGTCAGTCTTGACTATTCCAATATGAAACTGTGGCAAAAAAAAACCTCTTTGAGGGTTGATTGATTTTTGAGCTGGACCAAAAATGAGTAGCCAAGAAAATCAAAGAAGGAGGGTTTGACTGTGATTTACCTTAAGTCATTTCACGTTTCTGCCAATCCAGAGGTTTATTAAAGCACTATTTTAAATGAGAACTAGGTTATAGGCGTTTTAGATTCTGCACTTGATAAAACAGGATTTGAAATTTTTTTTTCGGGTGGAGCGGAAGCCGGCCAGGTCGGCTTTGATGTCCCCCAGCTCCAGGTGGTCATCCAGGGACGGCTGCCGCCACTGCGAGCTGTGGGGACAGGGACAGCTGGGAGCAGGGCAGAGCCACCACCTCCCAAGCCCCAAAATAAGTGGGTGCTCCCCCCCCCAAGCTGAGCCCCAGAACCTCCCCATGAGGAAAGGGAAACTGAGGCAGGGTGGCATGGCTGTCCTGGCTTGCTGGCTGGCCACTGGGTTGCCCTTGGCTTTGGTGCCGTCCTCAGCGAGGGGCAGCACCATCTTCTCAGCCACATCGGTCAGCACCGAGAAGGTGGGCTCCACGATGAAGTCGATGAAGCCTGTGGTGGGGAAGGGACACGGCAGCGATGGGGACACCCCGGGCCAGGGCCAGGGGTGGTGGGGACGGGGAACCCACCGCCACTCACCGATCTGGGATTGGGCCACCAGCGTGGAGGTACGGTCGCAGAGGGGCGAGAAGGGCAGCCCCAGCTCAGCCTCCTTGTCCCCCTGGCAAGGCAAGGGAGAGGTGTCCCCACAGGGTGGTCCCCCACGTGTCCCCCCACCCTGTCCCCAGGGCCACGGGAGCCCTACCTGCCTGAAGAACTCCTCCATCAGGGCTTTGGTCCAGCGGCTGTGGACCGACCACTGCTTGGTGGGGTGGCTGATGTCGGCCGCGTGCAGCAGCAGCGACAGCACCTTGGACTTATCGATCCTGGGGAGGGGACCCTGGCGCTGAGGCTTGTCCCCAAAACCACATCCCCCCCTCCCCGACCAGGGTGGGCACCCATACTCACCGCTCCAGCTGCTGCAGGGATGTCTTCATGGACTTCACCTGCTGGAAGTGGCAGGACATGTCGGTGGCCAGGACCATCTCGATCACCAGAGCCCTCAGCTCCCTGCGCCCCGGGGAGGGGGGGAAACACCATCAGGGCCCCGCGTCCCACCTGGGGACAGCCCCGGGGGATGGGGACGGGGACCTTACGCAAACTCGTCCTTGGTGAGGTTGACGAAGATGTTCATCTCGTCATCCTGCATCATGCGGAAGACGGCGCTGATGTGGTGGTTCTCCAGCACCGAGCGGTCGTTGTAGAGGATGGCGCAGTCCGACCTGGGGATGGAGAGGATGATGGGGCCCCGGCACGGGGGGGGGAAGGCCGAGGACCCCCCCCCCAGGGAGAGGGGG